AGCTCGAGTACTATTACTAGAGTTCCAATCGGAATCGAGGAACCGGAAATATTTGTTGCCAATCGTACAGTCCAGACTTAACTAGACTCCGGTACGTTCATTAATGGGGAAGTCCCCTATGGAGGTTTTTACAGAGTTTGATTGCGATCCGATTGTGAGCGGGATCTTAAAGCCGGCTGCACGGGCAGGACCGCATAAAGTGATCCGCTGAGAAACAGCGCAGCACAGTGCTAAGCTAGAAGTGCTGCAAACAAGTCTACAAGAGCTGCATCCAGATGTGGTCGATGCAAAGGAGCGCAGACGCCTTCAGCAACAAGCAGCAGACCGGGGACGGGAATATACATTATCCGTAGGTGGGTTTGTGCTATGGCTCTAGGCAGATTCAAGGTTGTCTGGACAAAAACTGGATGGTTCAATGAGTGGGCCCTTTTCGGGCTGCGGAATAGCTTTCCACCAGCTTTATGATCGAACATTTGCTGACGTGGAACCAATTTGACGTGCACGCTATTCGGCTTAAGTATTACGCAGACAACATGCTGGAAAACATCGGGGAGCTGAAACATCACGTTGCCCTACAAGGTATCCATCTCATTTTTTGTGCGGTGCACAATTGCATATATATTCGCCGGTCCAAGGAATGGCAGCTATTGGTGAGCTGGAAAGGACTGGACGACAGCGAAGATTCGTGGGAGGCTTTTATTGGCATCTACAAGGATGTTTCGGACACAGTGTCAGCATACGCCGACAGTTATGTTGACACAAGGCTAAACGGTACTTGAAGAAACTGCAACAAATTGAGGTGTATAGTAATCTGCCTCCTGAAGCAACGCCTGATATATATTAGGTGCTAGAGTGTATAAAGAGATCACGATGCAAATAGGAGTCAAATACTTTGTCTTTTTACAGATTTTAGTTTCGCATATAGATAACACTGGCTTTGTTTATCACCTGATTGCTGCCAAAAATGCTTGATGGTAGTTCGACTCACGCCGTCTCACACCACAACAAGGCTGTGAATATTTCAACACTATATGGTTGATCTACAGATTCCCCTATGTAATCTAAGGTATGTAACGTTTGCTAAGTGAAAACGTACCTGACTAAAGCTCTTAACTCAATGAATTATTCCCTGATCCAGATGGTACCTGAGTTAAGCTGTTAACTCATGGAATTATTCCCTGCTCCAGCGTAGCCATCTCGATGATTCCCGTCTTCTCGCCCCAGGTGAGACGAAGGCGCGTTAGACGTTTCTTGGGCATAACTATAGTGCGGTGGCGGCGTTGCGTGCGGTCGTGAGTGGAATCGGAAATGTGCTGAGCTCTATAGTAGACAGTGGCTACTTATACATCTTCATTAAAGGTGCTAAATTTCAAATTCCGTCTAGTGATCTAGTGGTTAAACTAGCCTGGGCTATTGGATTTTGGAATCGGTAGTAGTGACTCAGTACCTTGCCCATCCGAGGGCGATATAAAGTTTGTCAGAAAATTAATTGTAACCCCGCTGCTTCAGGAGGCAGATTACTGTAGCTAAGTATTCGGTAGCCCAAGTTGAAGCAAACGGAGTTGAATACAAACGGAGCCTGAAGAAGAAAATGTTTTTGCTGGGCGTATTACCAAACGAACACGCTCTTAAATTAGTTTACACGATAAAGCAACACATGTCGATTTTTGTAAAACTTAGTACAACATGGACAGTAGAGATAGTGAAAGCAGACGGTCAGCGGGCAGCCTCCTTAACTATTAGAAAGGGTATCACTATTTGAATTACCACTCCAAAGAGGGTTGTCTGTATCTGCGTCTCCTTACAGCGCTGTTTGTTAGTTAAAGTCTCTAGCTAACGTCTCCCAGTAACGCTAGTCTAACCTGCACTCTCTCCCTTACGTAGACAGGGGTGAAAAGGAGACGGTGTTTTATCTGCGTGTACAGGAGACCTGTGGCGCTGGTTAACACATATACTCGGCGGATCTCGTCTTGTGATAATAGGCCTTCAGCAGCATGCAGCAGGCGCTGGGGCTCGGCTAGTCGGCGTTTCTTATGCCATGTCGTGCTTCATCATCAAATGTAAGGGTAGATTTCCTACACACGCTACCGTCTCATTTAAAGTACTCTATCCGGAAACCTAAAGGCCTCGGCGACACGGTGAAAACTACCTTTCCACAATCAAAGATCGATCTGTGATGTAGCTGCAGAAACAGCGTCTGGCTTAGTGTCAGAAGTATGTATTCGCCTTGGTCGACAAGGTCCAGGTTTGAGAGCGATAATTGAAGCAAATGTCGCTTCTCGACTGAATAGGAATGCATTATTTCTAACACAATGGTGGTTATTCTTAAATAAAACTTCGTTCATTCTTCACAACAAATTTC